AACCATAAGGACCTGTGACTTCAGGTGTTGGGCCACCTCCAATTGTTCTGTCATTGCCTCAGAAGAATTGCCATCTACAGCCTCCTGTAGAACCACCTACTTGTTCAAGCTCACTACAACAAGATCAGTTGGGTCCATTAGGGTCACCTACCACTGAGCACATAATGCTACAGCCTAGTTGTAATGTCAAGACTACTACAGGTTCGCCTATTGGTTCAACTTCATCTCAGTCCGTTCATTTGAGCTCCCCGACCCCACTTGTGCAAGCCACTTCAACACCTGGGCCCGTTGTAGCTCCCCATCCACCTTCTCATGATGAATCCTCACTTGTACCACTGTCACCATCCACTGTTAATGGTAATTCCTCTACCCCTCCCTTGCCTATGCCTTCTGTACCTGTGAATGCTCGCCCTATGATCACTTGAGCTAAGGCTGGTGTTTTCAAGGCCAAGTCATTCTTGGCTTCTGCTCATCCCTTGACCATGAGTTTTGTTGAACCCTCTTGCTTTACTAAAGCCAACAAAGAACCCCGGTGGAGGGATGCTATGGCCACTGAATTTGTTGCATTGCTTCACAATGATACTTGGGAATTAGTGCCTCCTTCTCCCAATATGATCTTAATAGGATGCAAATGGGTCTTTAGAACCAAATATAGGGCAGATAGATCTATTTAACGCCACAAGGCACGCCTTGTAGCTATAGGGTTTCATCAACGTATAAGTCTTGACTATTCAGAGACCTTCAGCTTAGTTGTTAAACCCACAATAGTGCGAGTAGTTCTCTCTCTAGCTCTCTCAAAAGGATGAGATCTCAGGAAACTTGAAATACAAAATGCATTTCTCCATGGCGATCTCACTAACACTATATATATGAAGCAACCTCCTGACTTTACTCTCCCACAATATCCACATTATGTGTGTCGTCTCAAGAAATTGCTTTATGGGCTTAAACAAGCACCTAGAGCATGGTATCACAAGTTAAGTTCATTTCTCTTAAGCATTGGCTTTCATTCATTTCATCTTGATTCCTCATTGTTTATTAAGCACACGCCCACTGAGACCCTCTTTGATCTTGTCTACGTTGATGACATCATTGTTATGGGTTCCCAAATGTTAGCACCCAATTTTTGCTCAGCCCCTTCACCTACCTCTTGGTACCCCCTCTTAGACCTCGAAAACTTAGAAACATAACCAGATCAACTTGAGACTTTCCAAAACCCGAGAAAATCCTTCTTTAATGCAATCCACAGGACAAACAAGAACCTTGATCAAACACCACCTCCAAGATTACTAGGAAATAATTAGCTAGCGAATCCTACCACGAATCTTCAATAACCAAACGCAAAAACATCAAGATCTCACTCGGATGGCCCTGAATGATTATCAAGATCGACCATATATTTCTCAAATCAGAACCATCTCCTTGACTCCTCACCCTAATTCATGCCTACCTACCAAATTGTAGCTCAAAACTCACCCGTTTGATCCCCCATCAAGCCTAGATCCTATTTCAACAAATCTCATTAATTAAAGCTTACTATCCATCATCCCAACTTCATATGACCAATCAAACCTTACCACTGTGTTCGGAGATCCAAAAAACCCTAGCATATCAAATCTCCTGACCAAACACCTCCGTTTGACCGTAAAAAATGTAAGATTCCATTTTGAATCCTCTCGTTGGTTGGAAAATTACAAGCTAAGACCATGATCTGAACTAAATCAATCAATCTAGACCTTTGATGAAAGAACCATTACTTTCATTAGATTCAGGATGATTGAAAGTGCTAACCCACTAAATTTCATCCCAAAATTCCCTTGTTTAACCCTTCATTAAACAAAGATTCTATTTCAGCAAATCCCGTTGATCCGAACTCGTCAGCCATAGATCTCAATCATTCCAACCCCATTTGTCTGATCAGACCCGACCACTGTGTTTAGATACCCAAAAAAACCTAGGATGCCAAACTTCACATCCTAATTCATCCGTTTGACCATTAAACTAAAAAGATGCCATTTTGATGCACCATATTAAATTATCATGTCATCTGTCTCAATCTAAAGTTCCAAAAGGGTGATGGATGTCAAACCCAACCAAATAAAGCCTAATAGACCCAAAAAGCTCAAAATACCAAACAAACCCCTACTTATGACCAAGAAAAGTCAAAATAGCTTTTAAAAGTTCATCAAATTTATATTTTTTGCCACTGACAGTCCCAAATACGAGACTGCAACGTCTAACAAGCCCCAAGCTCCCATTGGACGCACAAAACCCATGGAAACCACCCCCAAATCAAAGAAAACGTTTCACCAAATAGGTAAGCTTGATTGGGCATCCTTTTCTTTGAAGAATCTTTGCCTATTTGTGTAAAACCTCTGTTAAATCCCAGGCACTATAGCTGAACGAATTCAGACCCATCTCCCTCCATTTTCTCTATAAATAGAGGCCCAGTTCGAGCTTAAAAGGGGGGAACCGGAGGAAGTGAGGGAGGAAAGGAAACCTAAGAGAGGCCCTAGAAAAAAGAAGAAGAGGGGAAGAGGGCAATTTTCCAACTTCTGTAACCCCTCATTCTGCTTGAAATCTCAAAATCCCTGAAGCCAAGCTTAAGCCTCATCTCCTGCTTTCTAGACTTAATACCAGAAGCATTCAAACCAGCCCTTGCCTTACTTAAGTTCCATTTGAAGTCCTTTCAGTTGCTAAAAAGTTGGTTTTAAGGTTGTACACGAGCGGTAAGTCTCTCACCCCCCATCTCTCTAGTTTAGTTTATTTTCAAATTGCTTAAAATCCTTAAATTCTGGGAAACTTGCATTCCCAACTTCCTCTACATTGAGAAAAAGAGGTAGAAAGGCGAGGGCCTTAGGGAAACCAATACCTAAGACCCGATAACATCACCTCAAATTAATTCTGGGCGAAGTTGTAAACATTTTTGTCGGGTTTCAGGAGCTTTGAGCAATCCCGTTAACTGTCGTTTTTTCAGATTCTTAGCCTGAATAACTCCCGTTTTGGGCTACTATAGCAGCTTGGAGAGAGAGGTGCCTAATACCTTCCCTCTCCCAATCCTTAGAACTCGATATCTCTTGGTTGTGTGCCTTTCCCATGAAAAATGGAGTCATTATCAAGGACTTAAATCAAGCTTTTCAAACCTAAAAATGTGGACCCATTTCCTCTAAAAAATGGGTGGCAACTCTAACTCTTTTGAGTCAGCCATGAGCTTCCCGGAGCTCACACCAACCTTTTGCAGTTACCTCTCTCATCAAGCATCTCAGTGATGTCTTCACTGTCAAGGATCTTAGTCCTTTACATTACTTTCTGGGTGTGGAATCTCTACACACTTCTAATGGCCTATTACTTTCTCGGTGCAAGCACATAGTTGACTTGCTTAAATGATCTTCCATGGATGGTGCCAAACCGGTCTCTAGTCCCATGCTTCCATCTTGTAAACTTAATAAAGCAAGTGGTGATCCTCTAGCTGATTCAGTTGAGTTTCGTAGCATTGTCGGTGCTCTACAATATCTCACCATGAGTCGCCTGCCTATTTAGTCAACAAAATTTATCAGTTCCTTCATTGTCCCACCACAGAACATTGGGTTGTTGTTAAGCGTTTGTTGCGCTACCTCAAGTCCACTGTGGACTATGGACTTCTACTTTGTCCCTCTACCTCTCCACGTGTTCAAGTTTTCTCTAATGCTGACTGGGCTGGCTGCCCATATGATAAACATTCTCATGGTGGATTTTGTATATATATGGGTCCAAATCTCATCTCTTAGGCTTCTCGTAAGCAATCTACAGTACTGAGTCAGAGTACTGTAGCATTGCCACTGCTACTATTGAGTTAGTTTAGTTGCACTCACTATTTATTGAATTGGGTATACCTCTCTCTCTTTCTCTCTCCCATCTTATGGTGTGACAACTTGCGAGCCACTTATTTGACTGCCAATCCTCTTTTCCATGCTCAGTTCATCTCTTCACGGGACCAGGTTGCCGATGTTTTCACGAAGACTCTAACTTCACCTCGGTTCATTGCTTCTTCGGCACAAGATGACTGTAACTCCTCTTCCCGTCAACTTGAGGGGGGATATGAAAAGCATGACTCCCGTACTTTGTGCACATCTACTTCATCTAAGTCAAACAATGTATCAGGTAAGGACTCTAGTTCAACTCCACCTCAATAGAGATAAGTTTTCAATGCCTATGTTTTCACGAAGCCTCTAACTTCACCTTGGTTCATTGCTCTTCGGCACAAGCTGACTGTAAACTCATCTTCTCGTCAACTTGAGGGGGGATGAAAAGCATGACTCCCCTACCTTGTGCACATCTACTTCATTTGAGTCAAACAACGTATCATGGAAGGACTCTAGTTCCTGATCCCCCTTGCCAGTAAACCTTCTGTTGTTGTAGATGCAAGCTCGATTTATCATATCCCTACATTTAAAATTTGGAACCGCAGATATCGATGGCGTACCAGGTGTAGTGTAACAGAAACAGAATCCGTGGCAATTTCATGGAAGAATCAATGACTTCAAATAAGAAAAAAAAGGTCGGATTCGGATTCGGTTTGTGATCTCCAGTTGTCTAATTAGCGAATTGAAGAATCTTCTTCCCCAACTCCTTCTAATGTATATCTACAATCTGCTGCTGCTGCAAAATTAATACCGTCACAGATTACGACAATCTCGACAACTCAGTTGCATTTCTCCCGATTAATTTTCTAAAACTTTCCACATGTATTTTCCTAGCTTGACGTCGTTTTACTCAACCAGACAACCCTCACAACAGCACATTCCACCACCTCCCCTAGCTAGCTGGCCATTAAAAAAATGATGACGACACACACCAACTCCTTAAAATCTAAAATCCTAACAAAACGAAACTTCTCAAAGCACACGAGCATGAGTTGATCTTCTTCAATTCGTCGTAACCCAAATCCCTTTATATAAAGACAGTTAGTTATTCTCTTGATCTCTGCATTCTGTACTTGATAATATCAGCTGCTGTTAAAAATGCCTCGGTTCCTTCTTGTATGTTTGGTGCTGGCCGATGCGCTTGCGGTTCCAACCACGGCTACTGAAGAAGTTGAGGCTCGGTTCATGCTCAAAGGTCACAGCCACTCAGAGCCAGACCCACCAGCTTTGGGTCCAGAAGTTGGAACAGCACAAACACCCTCAACCCAATGGGTGAATGGAGGAGATTCTGCTGTGGAGCTCACTTCTTCTGACCAACCAGCTCCGTCGGAAGCTGCAAACCGAGCAATCAGATTCGGAGGTGTGGGAAGAGATCGACATCATAAAATTGAAGAATGCATCATAGGAGGTGGGGTTATAATTGGAGGCCTTGTTGCCACATTTGTAATTTCTATTTTCTGCTACATTCGAGCTACTAGAGAAAGAAAGGAGGAACCCAAGGCCCAAGATATAATGGAGTTAGGAAGCTAGAAGCTCTTTTTTTTTTTTTTTTAACTTATAGGTGATTAGGTTCTGCACATGGAAGACATTTTCCTTTTCTGATACTGTAAATTAGAGTTCAAAACATCAAATAAAACATGGGTTTCCTTATAATGTTAATCTGCGTGTCAAGCTAATTACCTTCAAAAGAAGAAGAAGAATAAATAAATGGTTGTAGAAGAAATTCCCATCGTAATAATGTCTACATAGGATATCCCGTATCCGGATCTGGAGTCTCGATCTTGTTGTACAGTAGTATATACAAATTAAACCACTGTTTCTGAACTGTGTGAATCGACTCAGGAATCAACCGATCCAATTGAGATTTGGCTGGAACTTTTGTCGGATTACCTCTGTGACTTGCCAACTAATCACTTTTTCTTTTTGTTCTTCAATGGATAACTCGGCCGAGTTTAGTAGTTAATACTGGAAAGAGGAAGCTGAAACAAGACGAGAGTTTCATAGTGGGTTAATATAGAGAGAGAATATTCTATTAATTTCATTTCAAAAAGTGGCGTTTGGATGAGCAATTGGAGCACCCAGTTTTGCTCTTCTTTGATGAATCTATTTCCGTCCAAGATCTCCTTGATTGATCCTACTCAACTTGTTTTAAAGGGAATCTTCAGACAACTATCCTCGACAGAGAGCAAAGAATTCATCATTCCATCCATGGTTGAACCCAACTTCATATTTCCGTAGCTACTCGATCATGATATAGAACTCAACTCATAGGAGAATCTATTGGCCAGTAAGGCTTTCAAATATTGGAGACATTATTTTACCTTCTGTAACTTTGATGATTCTTCAACCGAAGAATCTCAATTAATGACTTACGAGAAAAAAATGCCTTTTCTTTAGGCTCAGTTTGGAAGGAATATAAATACAAATTCGTAGAATGCAAAACCTTGTATATTTGCACAATATATATATTTGTATTTATACTCTACCAAGCTGAACCTTATGTGCTCTATACTACATATACATTACTTGAAATTTTTGGGGCAACAAATTTCTAAGCCCAGCTCAATCTGGCCCAGTTTGATCACTACTTACTCACTACCTCCCAAGTAGATAAACTTGCCAATTATCTGAGGTAATTGTTTTAGCCTTTCTCTTGCCTTTTATATGGATGATAATACCCAATGTTGCACACGGGCCTATTAATATAATAGGTCAATGAAAAAAGTGTTAGCATAACTTTTCAAATATAATATTGCATTTTATATAATATAAGAATCACTTGGCCACATGATCCTTCTTTTTGAACCATGTGGTGAGGTGAGGATGTAATTTGGGTTGGCTGGAATTAGCATTTTACATTGCTTTGGGTTCAAACCTTCAATTAATTTGGGCTTTCTTTTGGTAAAAATAACTTGGGCTATAGACCTTAATGAGAATTCTATCAAATCCATCCAATCGGATTACGCCCAGCCCAGTTGGGCCTGGGTCAAACCTCAACCCGACCCATCCCCCGAATTGGTTGGGTATCGTGGCACTGAGGCATTTTGGAATTCCAACTCAAGTTCCACGTGGACTCTCAAGAGTCTTTTCGGTGTACTCGGTTTATTTCTTTTCTTTGACAACAAGAAAACTTGACACTAGCCGAATTACGTATTACGATCACTCCCACGCTGTCTCCCTTCCTCATCCTCCCTACTCTTCCCCTATACTTGTCGGAGTGCAAACCGCTATCTCCATTAGTTTTTCTGCTACCACCGCGACCAGATGGTTCGGGTGTTCGACCTTCGACCGGTAAGCACTTCTTCTTCTTCTTCTTCTTCTTCTTCTTCTTGTGGAGAGAAGGTAAACAGTTCCAATTTCTTCATTTTGTGCGAGGACAACTACGTTATTTCATGCTGTTATTAATTTTGTTAAAGGAGTGGTTATGATTTATTGAATTTCTTTTGCAACTTCTCTTTCTTTCCTTTTAAATGGTCATTAAATGATTATCTGTTCGTCTGTATTTTACTAATGGAGTGGTTTCACTTGCTGCTGAATATGATCTTTAAGGGTTTACTGGTTTTATTACGGTACGTTCATATACACATTTTGCGGTTCTTTATTGGTTGGACAGTCTTTCTGTCCTCTCCGTTTTGTTTTTCCTGCACAAATTGGTTTACTCTAGTGCTAAATTTGATTTTTTTAGGTATTTTTATATAATATAACACGCCCTCGGTTGTTAATTTTGATTCATCAAGGACATAACACGTTGTTGAATCGGAAAAGATAACGTACTAAGGTTCTTCATATCTTGATTAGACTTTGCACTTCTTGTTTGCATCTTAGAGGCAATGGCGATGAGCATGAGTATTATGACACAAACACCAAATTCTGCTCTCGTATTTTCAGTGTAAGATTAAATTGGTAACAGGACAAATGGCTAAGAAAATTATTACTCTTGCATTAAACTTATCAAATATATATATATACATTTATTATAAGGAGTCTGACGTGGCATTTCAGATACTTCACCATAACAGACTCATAACAAACTTCATGGCAAGTGTAATCGTCATCCCAACTAACTTCATCAAAAGTAACCTCATCACAACTTGCTTCAATTGATTCGGGTATTCTCTTAATACCCTCCTTCAAGTTGGAGCATGAGGATTAAAAATGCCCAACTTGGGTAATAAAGAAGCAAAGCTATCTCGTCCAATAGCTTTGGTGAAAATGTCTACAGGCTGAGCCAATGTAGGAAGATGAGCAGTAGTAATGGATTTTGTTTGGAGGTGCTCTCCTATGAAGTGTCAATCTATTTCAATATGTTTGGTATGCTCATGAAACATGGGATTAGCAGCTACGTGAAGTGCTACCTTGTTGTTACTGTATAGTTTCATGGGTTGTGGATGAGAGAGACCAAGATCAGAGAAGAGTTGCCTTAGCCACAATAGTTCACTAGTGGCGACTACCATTGCACAATACTCGGCTTCAGCAGAAGAGCGTGCCACTGTTGCTTGCTTCTTACTCTTCCATGACAAAGGGGAGTGGCCCAGAGTTGTGAAATAGCCAGTGGTGGATTTCCGAGTGGTTGGGCAACCAGCCCAATCCAAGTCACAGTAACCTTGCAATTAGAGATCACAATCAGTCGGAAGAAGTATTCCTTGCTCAGGTGTAGCCTTTAAGTATCGAAGTACATGCATTGCAGCATCCAATTGTTGTTGTTTAGGATCACTCATAAACTGGCTTAGGATAGGAACTGAATAAGTGAGTTCTAGTCTTGTGATAGTGAGATAGAGGAGACGGCCCACAAGACATCTGTATTGATCAGGGTGATCAATTGGCAAGCCAAATTCAGGTCCCAAACGATGTTGTTTCACAATGGAGAATGTATTGGGTTTACAACCTAGCATGCCTGAATCCTTAAGGATGTCAAGGGTATATTTTCGTTGACTAAGAACACTACCCTAGGAAGACCGAGAAATCTCAATTCCAAGAAAATATCTAAGGACTCTGAGGTCCTAAATTGGAAAGCATTGTCGTAGGTAATCCTTGAGAGCAGAAATACGAATTGGGTCATTTCCAGCAATCACCAAGTCATCAACATATGCAAGTACAACGAGAATGCCGTTTGATTGTATTGAAGTAAAAAGGGTATTATCAACAATTGATTGTTTGAAACCCCATTGGTGAAGAACATGAGCTAGAGCTTCAAACCAATTGTGTGAGGCTTGCTTGAGGCCATAAATGGATCTGTTCAAGTGACATACACGTTGATCCTTAGGAGGCAGAAGTCCAGGTGGAGGAACCATGTAGGTTTCTTCATGAAGAGTGCCATGAAGGAAAGCATTGTCCACATCCATCTGATGTAGTTTCCAATTCCGGGATGTAGCTAGAGCCAAAAGGCAGCATACTGTTACGAGCTTAGCAACTGGGGCATATGTCTCTGTATAATCAATGCCTTCAGTTTGAGTGTAGCCTTTTGCTACCAAGCGGGCTTTGTAATGCTCAGTAGTACCATCAGGCTTGAACTTGACTTTGTAGACCCAATGACACCCAATGGGAGTCTTTCCCGGTGGTAAGTCAATCAATGTCCAGGTATGGGTGCGCTCAAGTGCAGCTAGTTCGGCTGACATAGCTTGCTTCCAACAGTCATGTTTCCTGGCTTCATCATAACAAGAAGGCTCAAGTTGTGTAGAGGGGATTGAACCCATAGTTAGAAAATTGGAGATTGGGTAGTGAGTACTTCATTAGTGAGTTTGTGATTGAAGTGTTGGACAAATGTAATCTGCCATGTGTGGGGGAGGTCTCTTGGAGCGAAGTGGGCGATGGTTATGAGAGGTTGGTGGGCTAGGAACAACAGGTTCAGGAGTTGGTGAAGTGATAATGTCCATGTCACTAGTGTGTTCAATTGATTCAGAACTAGTAGAGGGTTATAATCTGTCACAAACTGGTTCAGTTCTAGGTGTTTGATCGGGAATTATATCAGCCACTATGTCATCAACGGTTGGCAGAGGTATGGTTGATGGTGGAGATGGGTCCAAAGGCATGTCGCCCTCAACAAAAGGAAATTTGTGTTCAAAGAAAATCACATCTCTAGACGCAAATATATGCTTAATAGCCAAATTATATAATTTGTATCCTTTTTGACCATTAGGATATTCGACAAACACACATTTAGTGGCACGAGCATCAAATTTATCATGCCCACGTCGGGATGTACTTGCATAACAGAGGCAACCAAATGTACGAAAATAATTGTATGAAGGGGGTTTGTGGAAAAGAAATTCATATGGCGATTTCCCAGCAAGTATTGGAGTTGGCAAGTGATTAATGATGTAAGCTACTGTTAGAACACATTCTCCCTAGAACTCGATTGGTAGGTGTACTTGGAACCATAAGGCCCTTGCACTCAATGACCCCATTTTGTTGAGGGGTGTCTACACAAGATGTTTGATTTAAGATCCCATGTGCTGTTAAGTAATCTTGAATAGATCTATAGAGAAATTCAGACCCATTGTTCGAACAGATATACTTAACTTGAGCATTGAACTATGTTTTGACCATTTCACAAAACATTACAAAAAAAGAACAAGCATCTGATTTATATCGTAACAAATACACCCATGTAGTTCAAGTACAATCATCTACAATTGTTAAGAAATAATGAGCTCCAGAATGGGATGAAGTGCGGTAATCTCCCCAAATATCACAATGTATGAATGTAAACTGTGTATTAGATCTGGTATGAGTAATGGGGAAAGAAAGATGTGTTTGTTTCGCTCGAAAGCATGTGTCACAACAATCATCATCAAGTACTGTAATGTGCAATTCAGGAATCAAAGCAAATTTCTCATAAGAAGCATGGCCCAACCTTGAATGCTACATACATGGATCATGTGTACGAGTACTGTGCAAAGAGAAGGATGGCAGAAGGGAAGCGAAGTGATACAATCCCCCACACATTAGGCCCGCACCAATCAGCTTCTTGGATGTCAGGTCTTGCAGAGCACAAAAATTAGGAAAGAACAACATAGTACAATTCAGGCCTTTAGTAAGTTTACTAACAGATATAAGATTACATTGAAACCCCGGAATGAACAATACGTCCTTTAATACCAGATCCAAAGACAACTCTATGTCACTTTGTGACTGAACTGGTGAAATGCTCATGACAAAGTAGCTTTTGTGGTTCATGCATCATTTCTTGCTTTAGACTATGTCCTCACAGCCACTGGGGCTGCTGCTTTCTTTGAAAGTGCTTTAACATCTTCTTCTTCAGGTCAGTTTTCCATTTTTGTGTTTCTTTCTTATGGAGTATAGCATGACCTTTTTTGGGCAGATGAAGTTGGGATAGAGGGATGGAATGAAACCAATGACTCCTATGGTTTCACCTATGTGAAGGACTCAAAGGGCTCAAAGAAATCAGTCTTGGTGAAATGCTTGGTGACGGGGGATGATTTGATTGTTGATGCACTTGATATTGGTCTTGGGGAAAGAAAACCTATGAATCACCAGATCAAGTTGTGCTTTCTTGTGGATCTTGATGTTAACTTTTCCACTTTTTAATTCGTGTTATTATTATTATTATTATTATTCTATTCCTATTACTTATTTGGTACGTTCTGCAGCATCAATGACTATGATGGTGGAAGTGGGGGCACCAACTATTCACGGATGTATAAAAATTTCACAGAGCTTGTGAGGAGTTTGAATTCTAGTATCCTGGCTAAGTTGGAGTCATTATCAACAATGCCAAGTGGTTCAACCCCTTCCCTTCCAAGGTACATAATCTGCATTCGATTATTCCATGGTCCCGAGCATGGGAAGACTTCTATTCTAAATTACTTATAGCATAAAAATTGAAAATATCAACACTGCCAGTGGGAGCTTGTCTTACGCCACTGGTCCCAAGCTCAGATAAAGGAAGATGGTCGTGTCAGGTTGGGGCCAGCTTTAAGACTTTTACTAAACTCTTATGGTCTTGGATCTTGAACCATCTTTACATGCTCTGGCACTAAACAGAACAGAATGATGAAACAGGACTCGTGTAGCCAACCCCATATAGTTGTTATAAGGTTTAGATGAAGATGGAGATGATAAAAATTGAAATACCAATTTACACTCCCATATGAGTGCCAACTAACTGAGTCTAAGATGAAAATAGTTCCCTTTTTGTTCAAAGACATTCTATTGTTCTACTAGAGATTAAGACTAATAATGATGCTTAAAGAATATACTTATGAAATTTTTATCGACAGGTGTATAGTGATGATGATCCATTATCCATCATCCATCATTTTAAGTTGTCAAACACTTGGAAGATTCAATTCCTTCTAAGAATCTAATTAAGAGATGATGGATTCACGTCAAATTGCCACTTGATATGGTTGAAACTTTAATGATGGACATTCTTTTATTCAGACTTTATTTTTCCAAAAGAAAGAAAGTAAAAGCGATGGACATATGTTGCATAGTTTTCAAGGCGTCTAGGCGATTCTGGGTGACACTGAGGTGCCTAGTCACCTAGGCGATAAGAATTTTATAATATAAAGAACTAACTTTTGGCTAGTTCCTTAGTTTTATATACTATTCAACATGTATATTAATTGAAAAAATAGCAATATTAAGAACATTAAATTTCCTCTAAAAATGTGGCAAATCATCACATCTAAAAGATAAAAATCTTTTACATATGTTAATTTCATTATTTTCAAACATAATAGTACTATATTAAGTATTTAATAGAGAAATTTCATATCAATTAGTAGTTAAAAAAGGTTATTAACTTTATATGATAAATATTCAAGATGGAAAGTAAAATAGAAAAAACAAGGATGGAATTTCTGTTTTATTTAATTAGAGAGAGACAAATAGAAAAAACAAGAGCCTCTTTGTACTTCTATTCTTTCTTTCCTCCTTTTTTTCTTTCTTTCCTTCTTTTTCTCTCCTCAAAACCCTTTGATCTTTTAAATTTCAATAGTAAAACATTAAAACAAAGTATAAGTGATATATATAGCATATAATAAAATGCATTAACACACACATTAATAAGATACAACAATACAAATGATATTATATAAGGTGCCCGCCTTGTCATTTTTGTCACCTAGGTGGGTGCCTAGTTGCCTAGAAGAGTGCCTAGTTGCTATAAGTCAAGGTGTTCCAGTGAGGTGCCCAGTCAACAGGTGCCTAGTCGCCTAGGCGATGCCTAGTCAGGCACCAAGGTGATGCTTTGACAACCATGATATATGTTGTTTGTAGTGTCTGACATTACAGTGAATGCTATTTAATGCTGGGTTGGTAATCACCAATAAAAAAAAATGCTAGGTTGATGATCACATTCTGAACTTAAGCTTGCATCGATGGGAGATCTGGAGCTCACCTCTGATCTAATTCCTTGTAATATTAGTGGCATTATCAATGATAGTAGGTATGAATATTATGCTTCTCCACAGGCCTGATGAGGACCAAGTGTTCTTTCTACAGAGAACATTTCTTTTATTGAAGTGAGAGCTTTTCTTAACGATTTTTAGCCTTTTCTGTTTTGGCTTAGGTCATTCTGTGAAGCAGTATAGTTAGTTTCTTAGTAAAAAACTTTAGGAATATTAAAAGTATAAGGTTTGGAAAACCATTTACTTTGAACTCAGCTCAAACCCTTAGCCTATTCTCTGAATTAAATACACTATGAATTTTCTAACAGCATATATGCAGTTTCCAAAGCAGGATGTTGCTTTGGGTTGATATTTGCATTTTCATCAATTTATATTTTTTGTTTCCATGGTTTTTCTAACTTAGGTCACGTTTGGGAGTGTTTCTCATCCAGCTTGATTTTTTTCTATTGTGGATATGAAGGCTTCTCCTAGCATTTTGACAACCATGTATCTTACTATGTATTTAGTTTACTTTGTAGTGTCTTAAGAGTGCAAGGTGCAAAAGAAGTACAAAGGGCTTTTTGCACCCAAGGCATAAGGTGTAAGGTGAGGGGTATGCCTTTTTGAAGCAAGGTGAAAAATTATTAAAAATTTCAAAAAATGCAAAAAAATCAAAATAAATAAAAAATACTAATACAGTATAAATTAAAAAATGCATACTTTAATTTTAAATTAAATGTTTTAAAAAGTCTATTAGTTCAAATTAAAATACATAAACATAACAGATAAAACATATGCAAAGTGAAGAATTGAAGATGTAAAAATAAAATCAAATATAACATACTAAACAATTCAATCATGTCAAACTTTATCTCTATTTCTTTCCTAATCACATTATTTAAAATAGATAATGTGATGTTAAGTATCTTTTATTCCTAATTTTATGAGCTGCCTTTGTACCAAGCCTCTTGAGGCAAGCCCAAACAAATCCCACACACGGGAGGAACAAGGGAAAGCTGGAGGTTTTTCCCATGGACCGACCGACCCGTGACGAGATCCTATTCCCAAGCCCATAACAATTTGGTATCCGAGCCAAACGTCATGGGCAATCTAGAGCAGTTGTCGTCCAGGGTCCACGAACTAAAGCACAGGCTCGTGGAGAACAACGTGGAGGTACGTGAAGTCAAGGACGATGTCCGAGAGCTACGACGCTTGTTGAAGTTGTATTTCTCTAACAAGGAGAAGAGTTCCGAAGGGACTGCAACCACCAACAGCCACTGACCAGATTTGACGGAGTCGTTTGGCAAATAGTAGATCGTCGCCCCGACAGCCGCAATTATTCCCAAGTACAGCAGACTGGAGTTCCCTTCTTACAACGGCACCGGAGATCTGTTGGGTTGGCTATACCGTTGTGAACAGTTCTTTCACAATCAGCGTACGGAAGATAGAGATAAAGTCAGCCTAGCCGCATTCCATCTAAAGGAGGAGGCACAACTCTGGTTTTACCGATTGGAGCAGGAGGAACCTGGGCTCAGTTGGGGCCAATTCAAATCCTACTGCCTCCTCAGGTTTGGGCCCCCATTGACGAGCAACCCGCTAGGTGAGTTGATCAACCTCAAGCAGACAAGAACCGTGGCTGAGTACCAGCGCCAATTTCAGACCCTCCTTGCTAGAGCAGCCTCGGTACGACCGGATCAGCAGGTAGACATGTTCACCGCAGGATTAGCAGAACCCTTGAGGGTGGATGTGGAGATGCAACACCCTCCAAACCTGGTCACAGCCATGAACCTAGCTCGCGCCTTCGAACGTAAGCTACAGCTCAGCCGCGGGACCTTCAGTATGGGTCGACTGCCGACATCATGGACACCCCCGAAGTCAACCGAGGTGGCCCCTTCTTCGGCAACCAGCAGGGAACAGAAACTTCATACGGGTAACGTTCCCAAGTCGGCATCAAGCATGGGAAGCTGCATGGCAGCACCACCCATTAAACGTTTGTCCAGAGCCGAGATGGCAGATCGCCGAGCAAGGGGACAGTGCTTCAACTGCAATGATCTATATTCGGCGGGGCACAAATGCAAGAGGCTATTCTGCCTTCTAGTGGACGAACAAGAAGAAGACGAGGATGAACCCGCAGCGTTAGAACCCGAGATCTCCCTCCACGCGATCACCGGGATAAAGACCTCTCAAACTATGCAATTGCGGGCGCAGGTGGCAGGGAAACCAGTACGTATCCTCGTTGATTCGGGAAGCACGCACAATTTTGTAAGTGAGCAAGCTGCCCTCTAGTTGGAATTACCTATGGAAATTATACCACAACTATAGGTATCCGTAGCAAACGGAGGGAGGGTTCACAGTCCCGGAATTTGTAAGAACATCCAAATACAGGTCGAATCCGAATCCTTCTCTGCTGATTTATTTGTGCTATCCTTGGATGAATTTGATATAGTTCTTGGAGTTAAATGGTTGATCACCCTAGGCCCAATCCTATGGGATTTCAGCGCCCTAACAATGACATTCCGCTTGAATGGAAAACAAGTAACTTGGCAGGGAACCAGAGTAAAGGCAAAAAAACTGCAGGGTGCATGCACTTCAGGGCGAAACAGTACACACAACAGATATGGAAAGACTCCTCACCGATTTCTCATATGTATTCCAAGAACCCAAGGGTCTTCCACCCTCCCGAGCTTGTGATCATCGGATCCCTCTGGTGACGGGTTCAAAACCAGTCGTCGTCCGGCCTTATTGCTACCCACATCTACAAAAGGACGAGATAGAGAAGCAGTGTATGGACATGATGAAATAGGGAATCATCCGTCTTAGTCGCTCTCCCTTCTCCTCGGCGGTTCTGTTGGTGCCAAAGCGAGACAGTACTTGGAGATTTTGTGTGGACTACAGAGAGCTCAATAACCGAACCTTCAAGGATAAATTCCCTATCCCCATTGTGGACGAGCTGTTGGATGAACTCCATGGAGCCCAGTATTTCTCGAAATTAGACCTCAGGTCAGGATATTTTCAGGTCCGGATGGCTCCCGAGGATGTAGAGAAAACTGCCTTCAGAACGCATCATGGTCACTTTGAATTTCTAGTTATGCCGTTCGGTCTCACCAATGCCCCATCCACATTCCAGTCTCTGATGAACGAGGTATTTCAGTCCCACCTTCGCATTAGTGTTCTTTGACGACATCCTAGTTTACAGTAAATCATGGATAGAACACGTGCATCATCTACGGACTGTTTTTGAACTTCTGCGCCAACACAAGCTCTTCCTTAAGCAGTCCAAATGCTCTTTTGGGGAGCGCTAGGTTCTTTACTTGGGACATATAATCAGTGGGCAAGGTGTCACGGTGGATGGTTCCAAAATTCAAGCAATCAAGGAATTGCCCAAACCTCAATCCGCCAAGGCTCTCCGCGGGTTCCTAGGTCTGATAGGATACTACCGCAAGTTTGTACAAAATTGTGGACTATTGGCTGCCCCATTAAACAATATGCTAAAGAAAAATGCCTTCCATTGGGACGATGCAGCTGATGCAGCCTTTGCAAATTTAAGGGATGCCCTCTCCTCCACACCAGTTCTGCAATTGCCGAATTTTGACTTCGAATTTACAGTCGAATGCGATGCATCAGGTATAGGTGTTGGAGCCGTATTGCAGCAACAAGGACACCTGGTTGCCTTCTTTAGCCGCAAACTGGTTGACTGACATCTAAAGTTACCCGCCTACGAGCGCGAACTAATTGGGTTAGCTAGAGCAGTGCAACACTGGAGACCATACTTGTGGGGAAGGTCCTTCGTCGTCAAGACTGATCACTACAGCCTCAAGTATTTGTTAGAGTAGCGGCTTACCACTTCGCCTCAGCAACATTGGGTTAGCAAACTGCTTGGTTTTGATTTCCGGGTAGACTACAAGGCAAGATCCTTAAATCGTGCTGCAGATGCCTTGTCTAGACGAGACGAAGATACTATGCTCCTTTGTGCGATTTCACATCCCCAAGTCACCCTGTTAGAAGACATTAGGAACGCGCTGCCATAATCACCAGAGTGGACGGACCTTATTCAGAAAATACAGTCTAGGACAACCGACTCAAATTGGTCCATTAACGACGGGCTAGTGCTATACAAAGGACAGATATACCTCCCAGCCGATTCTTCTTTAATTCCCTCTGTCATCTCTAGTATACAAAACTCCACCCATGAAGGCATTCAGAAGACACCGCATCGCATCCGAGCTGATTTCCATTGGCCAGGTATGAAAACCTCTATTTGGGACTTCATCCATAATTGCTCCACGTGCCAACAACACAAATGGGAAACCTACACCAGGCTGGCCTTCTTCAGCCCCTCTCAATTCCAACACAAATCTGGGCTGATATCTCCATGTATTTCATTGAGGGCCTACCCAAGGTTGGCGGGAAATCTGTTCTATTCGTGGTGGTGGATCACTTTTCTAAGTATGCCCATTTCATCCCTCTGTCACATCCGTACAGCGCTGCTTCAGTTGCCCACATTTTCTTTACGTATGTTTTCCGTTTACATGGGTTACCGGAATCCATCATCAGCAACAGGGGCCCAGTTTTTACTAGTGCCTTCTAGAAGGAACTATTTCGGTTGCATGGTACGACCTTAGCTTTTTCCTTCGCTTACCATCCTCAGACAGAAGACCAAACAGAGGTAGTGAACCGTACGATCGAGATGTATCTCTGCTGTTTTGTTGGCGACCAACCGCATCGGTGGGTTGATTGGCTTCCCTGGGCCGAATATTGTTATAACACGGCCTATCGGCAACGCTCCTTGAGACACAAGGCTGCCCCTAAATTAGCTCCTAAATTTTATGGACCCTTCAAGGTTTTACGGCGGATCGGCACAGTTGCATATCAACTAGAACTACCAGAGCATAGCAAAATCCATGATATTTTCCACATTTCCTTGCTCAAGCCATTTACGGGTACTCCTCCTGACCAAGTACCCCCCCTACCTCCCTTGAAAGACGGCAGACTCATCCCCCAACCTCGGGCTCTTGTTCGATCCATAATCAATCAGGGTGTTCTCGAAGTCCTGGTGGAATGGGACAGCTTACCATCATCCGAGGCCACCTGGATTCCCTTGACTGAACTCTGAGACACATACCCAGATTTCGAGCTCGAGGACAAGCTCGTAGTCCAGGAGGGGAGTAATGTTGTGGATGCATTCATTGGGAAGAAGTACCGCCGCCGGCAGCAGCAGTGGTGTGGTGTCCTCATCGGATTATCTAGCTAGTCACAGTTCACCTTATCTTATCTTATCTGTTTTCTTATCTTATCTGTTCCAGTAAGGATTAGTAGAGAGTCTTATCTTTCTTGAGTAGGGAGTCTTATCTAGGAGTCTTATCTATCTTACCTGTAAGCAGTATAGTTTAACAGGGAGTCTTCCTACAAAGAGGACTCTTTCCCCTTGTAATCTCCTATTTAAGGAGCTGAGATTATTGAATAAAGGCATCGAATTTCAGTCAAGAAAGAGAGTAAAAGGAGAGTTAGGTGATCTCTTGGACAAATCACCCTTAGGACGCCAAGATAGGTTCTGCAAGAAAGGGGAGGAACAAGGGAAAACAGGAGGTTTTCCCCGTGGACCGACCCGTGACGAGATCCTATTCCCGGGCGCATAACACTGTATCCGTAGTGTTCTTGTGAAAGATTGTATCAACTGTAAAGGTTTTTTGATAAATGTTCTGGACTGTACTGTCTAACAGTTCAAACAGTTTCTAAAAGTGAATCAAGCCTGCCATTTCAAAACTGTTGATGCATTTCTGATGTCATGCTGATATCATAGATGAATTATCTGACCTACAGTCAAACTTCTCAATTGGCAATTACTACCTTCAGCAGTTAATTCGCTGGTCTGGTTTCAGAAAAACTGTTTGGAAGTAATGATGGTGCTCAGTGGTCTTCCTATTTTATGGAGGAAGCACCTTTAGATAAACTCTATCATGGAATAATTTGGGCATCCCATAGAGTCATAGACCCATACCCTATTTTTATTCTTCTGCTAGTTGTGTAGTTACATTTAATGATTAAAAATGGCTAATTGAGTATTTCATTAATTGATTGTCAGTGACTATATCCATAATTTGGTTTCTTATAAGTGTGATGGCTTAAGTGATTCTGAAATTTTAACCATTTCAATGATGCTGACTCGCTGAGTGTATTAACGTTTTGGTTTTGGACTGTCTGTCAAATGATATTACTTGGCTGTTATCGAAATTATGTTTTTCAAGGATCCCTTGACCAAATGTTATCAATATGATCGTTTTGCAGGTCAAAAGAAAGTGTGGAATCAGAATGTGACAAAGGTGACCCTCGTGTGAGAGTCTTAGAGCCTCAAGTCCCCCAGCAACTTCCTCCAGTGTATCTTCTTTGTTACTAATGCTCAATATAAGTTCATTCCTTTCTTGCATTAGTTCATTCTTCAAATGCCAATGTAAACATATGGTTGGTTTATTTACTTGATATCTTTTTTTTTAATCATTTTGGCCGTTTAAATTTCCTAATCAAGCTCTTAGATATATCTCCATAGCTTTGCATTTTTGTAGAATCTGTAGATTCTCGAGTTTCAACCTCAGTAACTTGTATTTATTTGATAAACAAACAAGATCTGAACTGGAACCAAGACATTCAAACACAGTAATCTGTAACCAGTAAAGCATTGCATCTTATATTTATTAAGAGAGGTGATTTTATCCCTACTATAATTACTAACTGATCAGTCCATTAATATATTTATTAATGGAAACACTCAAACCATTGCCATAGAATGCTATCTTTTTCTTCTTATGAAACTGTAATGGTTGTAGACATCAAGGAAGATACCTGTTCTCTAAGAGCGTTACATTTGGTGTATCGTAATTGTATCCATACCATATGGATCTTACTTGGAAGAAAGCTCAACCTCTAGTTTGTTTATACATCATTACTTGTGATCTTAGTGTTATTGTGATTTGACATTTTTCTCAATCTTTCCCTACTGAGAATCCCATAGGGTTTCCAATATTTTGAGTAATATTTTCGATTTGCTTTCAATCATTTCCTCAAGGTGATGTTTCCTTCTTCTATCAAAATCTCAAACCTTTCTTAAGAGTTATGGTATGCAAGTGTTTTGTATTACCGAATTCTATTTCAAAATTCAATAAAGGCATACTTCTTGCTATTCTTGTTATTATAGTTTTAATATTAATAGCATAAAATTTATGAGGGTAAATTACAAATTACTACCCTGTACTTTGGGGGTAGTGGCAATTACCCCCCCTGAGCTTTCATTTGCGACAAAGACCCCCTCTGTTAGCATTCCTTCAGTTCACTTTGAAAAAGATTCTCAAGTGACTGTGTACTTCAGTTCACTTTGACTGGTGTAGTTGATACTAATTGCATGTGTTTGTTGCATAAGTTTGTCAAGTGGGTATTTTGGTAAATTAACTTCTTCCACCATTCAACTTAACAGAGAGGTGGTCTTTGTCAGGATCCAAAAGTGCAGGGGTATTTTCGTCACAAATAAAAGTTGAGGGGGGTAATTGACTTTACCCCTAAAATACAGGGTAGTAATATGTAATTACCCAATTTATAATCATATGCTTCACATACTGGTTCTCCTATCCTGCTTCAACAGTAGAATTAGTGGACAAATATATCTTCGCCCTATCAAGGCCAAAACTTGCCTTTGTTCAGTGGCCTCACATAAATGCAACCTTCTGTTTTCTATCTGAAATAGGGACTAAAAGGTAAGTAAATAAGTTTATAATTGTAACAGTCATAAGAGGCCCTTTTACTTGGATGGTTTCAGCAACATTTTGCGTGTGCAATGCACAGTTCTTCCAGCTGATGTCTGTGAAGTAGGTATTATTAACCATTTTTTATCAGTGAAGTATCTGTTATCAACCAGTAACAATGCATTAAACTACAATTTAAATAGGTGCATGTGTTAATTCTGAATCATCATAAATTGGATATAATAAATTAAGAGACCTACAATACCCAACGTCTCTGGCATTAAACAGAACGAACTGACAAAACAGGATTCATATAGCCGACTCCATATGGTTGGGATAAGGATTGAATAATGATGATGAGAATACCCAACAGTGGGTTTCGAGACTGCTACTGATAATTACTATGGAACTGTTCGATATTGCATAAACCTACACTATCAGCAGTTTCTTCAGTTATGGGGCCTGTTTCTATCAAAACACACAGTGCAACATCTACTGTTTCCTTGTTCACCAATAAGAACGTCTTCAGGGATTTTGGGTAGTTGTACTTTTGTTTTTGAAGCCAAGGAGTATTTGTACTGAGGATCACTATTTGGTACAATAGTATATGCATAAATTATTAAATAATGCTGTGCATCTTGGGTCAGATTGGGTTGGGAATTCGCGAAATTTTGAATGGGCTTGAACGCTAACCTGAGCCAAATGTAGCTGAAATTCTTCAAGACGGGCAACCTGATTTACAGCCCCAAGTGTGACTTACAGCACTAAGTGCAACTTGGCGCTTTTGTTTCTACTTGCCTTCATTTATATTTTCGTTCAATACTTTGTTTTAATAACTCATATTGAAGGAGCCTGGTTATGATTTCCATTCAGTTATGTTGATCAATTAAATATTTTTTCTGAGCTTTATATGCACAACTCATATATATGCATTTTTGTGTTACAGTCTTGTATATCCTCAAGTTCCATCTCTTGGTTCAAGTGATCTTTACCCAGGGCCTGCCATTGGAGTGTATCCTTCATGGTTCTTTTCTTTCTCCATTTTCTCCCTTCGGTTTTCAAGTTTCAGTCTCAGTTGTGGTTTTCTTATTTTATTTTTATTTATTTATTTATTTTTGCATTTGTTTATCTGTCTTTCTCAGGAGCACTGGCATTGGTGGAGGCATGCTTTTAGGTCTGTAGGTAGTCTATTTGACATTCTTCATAAAGAATCGTTATTCAACTTTTTTGTTGTGCTGACGGTTTATCTTCCGGTGGGAGCAGGACCAAATGACCCCAGCTGGTTTAGTGGCACATATGGAGAGCAAATTGGAGTCCCTGGGGGAGTTCCGTGAGTATATTGACCTCTGCAATTGTCCCCCAACCCCCTGCCCCACCTTCTATATCTTCTATGGCTATATGTAGGTATTCATAGATTCTAATCTTGCAAGGGTGAATTGTTACAGGGGTGTTCCACCTGGTGCTCGTTTTGATCCCTATGGCCCTCCAGGTGTTTCTGGTTTTGAGCCTAATCGATTTGTCAGGTATTATTGATCCCTGCACAGTACAAATTTCTTTCTGTCAAGTATATTATTAAGAATTTAAGATTAGCATCTCATTAGAGATATTTCTGTAAATGCAAATTCCATGGGAAATGCATTTTTTGGCATTAATGCCGTGAGGAGTCAGTTCCTTGAGTTGTAAATGTGGCAACCTGTGTGTTTGCAAAACCACTGGTGTAACATTGCATCTTTAGAGGTGCAACATTAAATTGCTTTTGGTGCAATGTTTATAGCTCAATATGAATTCTATGGTACCAGACTACCGGTACTAAAGATTGTGTTTCTTTACCATGTAATTGCTCAAATATAAAAAAGGGCCATAACCATGTTGGGCCCCAGCGACTTGTGGGGTCCTTTGGTATTGAACGGATGCCTTAAGAAGGGTCTCATACTACCATGGACGCCGGTTATCTGTCTTGCATTGCTGGCATTATTTGAGGTTTGTTGGTCCTTGTTAATGGACTGTTTCTTCATAGATATTGTACAGTGACATCCATGAATTTGCATCACGTAATTTGTTCTTCCTTTTGCTTGGGTAGCTTTTCTCTCTGTTTCTTTTCTTGAAATTCTTTGTAGGGTGCCAAGGAGGTCCGGCGGTGGGGCTCATCCCGACTTGGAGCACTTTAGGGATGATTCCGATATGATTTAGCTCTATGTATTCTGTCTGACACTATTTTCCATGCTTTTAGTATACTGTTAGAACGTATTAGCTAGTCGAGCCTGACTAATATGTAAATATTGGAGATAAAGATGCTGTTTTGATTTCTATTTTTATGTATATATATAAATTCGAGACATGGGGCCAAAGAGTGCCAACGTCTCTGCATATAGAAAACCACTCAAAGGTGATTTTTTACCATTTCTAACTTCTAAGGAATGAGGAAAGGTTCCTTGGATCATTACTCATCAGGATGCCAATTTTATTATTAACTTAATAAGAAAAGCTTTGATGAAAGGCCTATTTCCATGTCCGTGAATTGTGATAAATTCCCAAGTCTCGTACTGGCTGTGATGGTAGATGGGCTTCCTTCTCTTCATGGATATGGCCCAAATAATCCCCACAGGTGGAGGTTGGGGTCTGGACTCTGGTTTAATGGATCAAGTCCATGATATGGCTGAGCCCGTGTTGCTTATTAGAAATGAAGTAGTTGCTGGAGGGTGAGCTTAGTGTTCTAGAAGCATTACGTCAAAAAATGAGAGAAAAAAAAAATATGCGATATGTTGTTTCAACGGAATCTTTATCAAATGAAAACGTATTAAATTACTCATCTGGAGATCAGATCTGCTCCTCACAGAGCACGCTTCACACCAACCTCACGGCGTTTCAGCCGTGCATCTGGGAATTAAAAATTTGCAAGTACAAGATATTCCAGGTGCACGGCTGATACATGCTGTGAGGTTGGAGTGAGGCGCGCTTTGTGAGGAGCAGATCCGAACTCTTAAATATTGCTGAGAATAAATTTCTTGTTTCCCTTATGGGAAATAATAATTCAATATCAATCAATATGGTGGTGGGCGTGCCGGAGTGATTATCGGGCATGACTAGAAATCATGTGGGCTCAGCCCGCGCGGGTTCGAATCCTTCCGCTCACGTACTTTTATCTCTATTATTCTCTGTTTTAACATTTTAGAAAATATATAAAGGGGAGGCCAATATTGCGAATTGCCATTGCTTCTGGGAAGTGTCAACACTACAGGCCCAGCCCATCTTCATTTTCAAGCTTTACTTTCAATTCCATTAATTATATATTAAAATAGCGAAGAAAAACTTAGCAAGCATCTTAATGAATTATGATCGTTCACACTTCACACTGCCAAAGTAGAAAGTTGGCCAACGACTGGGGCACAGGTTTGCTCAAATACTTGCATCCTTTCATGCATCATCTGGTTGGGTGGTTATGTCATATTGGTGGAGGTGTCTGTCTGTTCTAAGTTCTAACTCATCAGCTGTCGTAACTCTTCGTAAGTGGAGCTACGTCCCTAAATGTGAACCACCCATTTCTATCGTCTGGAGATATTTTTTCTTCTTTCCTTAACACTTGGTTGTAGAAGGATATTATCTGTCTTGATGGGATATTGGTAAATGCAATTAATGGCCCAGGAAAATATAATGGACAATTAAGTATCAAATGGTGCATGATGTGATTCATTCACATTCCTCAACCCAATTGGTCCAATTCGATCAATAATTAATAAATTAATTAGCAGAGAAGTCGTGCAGCCAAGGTTACAACACACACGCACGCACGCACGCACGCCACAAGGAGAAAAGGCTAGTGGGGGAACTTTCCCTTTGACACGCAAACAATCTTGGTGAGCCATAGACCGACTCGATCGATCACTTCAGTCTTCAGTCCTAATCCGTTAAGAGTTTGCCTGGCCCTGGGCCCTGGGCCCTGGGCCCCTGGCTTGGCGAAATTAAAATTCAAGAACACACGGAATATAAAAACAAGCCTGGAGACTTCATGTCATTTTTTATTAATTCATCTTCTGGAAGGCGCTCCGAAACGTCAAAGTGATCACATCTCTTTATCTCTTGTATATATATGTTTCCTAACTTTGAATTCTTGAAACTTATTAAACAGATTTGCATTCTAATGACTTTGTGAGTGCCTTCAAAAAGAATCGCTTTCAATTCAGAAAGACAGATTTATTTAAGCTCCTAACTAATCTTAACCTCAGCGACTTTTCTTTCTTTTTTCTTTTTCAACTCAGAAATATTCTAGCTAGCTACATCCTACATGGACGAGATCCAGTTATTTGGACAGACGACGGCCCCACGGTTATTCATCAATATCTATCACTATTGCTCTGATTGATTCTGCTTGTTGCCAGCTCTACCTAATTCTTTCTTGGGAGGAAGCTTCGATTACCCAATAAGACAGACTTAAGCAACCTGGAAACGCGTAGTTCAATTCATTCGTTACTCTTTATTCTGATGACTTGCTTCTAGAAGTTAGAGAGAAATTAAAGCTCCATGACATTCATTCTAGTTGGAAAGAAAAGTAATCACTCCATTAATTAGAATTGTTGAAAAAAAAAATCATGTAACATGAATAAATATAAATTCTTTCGATTCATCCCTAATATACATACAAGGTTAATTTGTTTTTCGTTGGTTGTTGAGGATGAGGGATTGAGTTTTGAGTTTGGGTATATATTACCCCAACTTCCTTCCCCATAGACGGGCAGCTGTTGTACATCTCATCATCTGAAACACAAAATAGTGGGAAAGCAATTATGTGTTTATCCAAGCGTTGCATTCTTCTACTATTGGCTTTGCTGATTGTGGCCACAGCTCACACCTCAAGAGGTGTAGAATCCAGGCCACTTTCTGTCAAAGACCAGCAAAGTAAGGATTCGATCATTAAAGCACCAACAAACACTACACTCTCCCTCTCTCTCTCTCTCTCTCTCTCTTAATCTTAACTGCTGCTTCTCTTAATTAATTGTTATTTAATTTGATTTACAGGATACACAAAGATGTTTGCGTCGCTGGGTCTCGAGTGCAAATGTTGCGATAAAGCAGGAGGTGAATGCAGGAGTACTGAGTCGACCACTTCGTCTTGCCCTAAACTCCAATGCCTTCCATGGAGATTATACTAAATATGTGCTGAGAGCTCTATTCTACTCTATATGTGCTGAGAACACATATTACATGTATATACATTATCTTGATTAAAGAGAATATTGTATACGTTACACCCACATATATACATTCACATGTAAATACAGTTAAATCTTAGTATATATAAATATATACATCCATCTCTCTAATTTGACGGTCCTGATCTCGGTTGTGTTCACCTCAAGCATGTCTTCCTTTTCTCTAAAGTTGATTCATGCTTCTCCAACTACTCAATGTTGCTCGTGGAATAATAATAATAATAATTTTAGTGACAAAGTAACGTTAACCCAAGCCTTGATTAATTCTTATCCTATAGCTAGAGGCTAGAGAGAGCTGTGGCGGTGGAAGAAAATCTTGAATCACAACTAAGGAGGGACCAGGTACAGAGACCAACTTGTGGTGTATGTCTTCAACTATGTATATGAAATTAGAGCTAACCACTGGCGGATTCTAGTCCATCGAATAATTCGATCCAAGCAAATACAAGGTCGGATAAAGTTGTGTTAGAGAATTATTCCAATTTGACATTAGAAAGTGGTACTTCACGTGGAGGCTCTCTTGCAGCAGGTTGGATCAAAATGTTTTTATTTATACTCTTGGCCTTACCAACTCACCAATCAATTCTCAGGCAAAAATTGAAGAAAGAAAAAAAAAAAAGTGGGTTACGAGTAGAGTGCTTTCCTTTCCTCGGGTCCAGTTGACCCTTTGAGAAATAGATAATTAGAGCTCTAGAGGAGATACCACCTCCACAGGATTTGTGGTAGATATATAATATGCGAGGACAACACAGGAAGCCTCCTTGTGCAACCCAGAATGTACCCCACCTAGAATCTACATTATACATATGCACCATCATTGCAAATTGCAAACCACTTTATTTTTTTATCTTCATCCTATCTCGGGTGTCAAATTTATTCTGTCCTACCCGTTCAGCCTAAACATTCTATATCAGGTGGAAGGAAGAAAAGGATGATACAACGAAGTTTCCTTTCTGACTCTGATTAATTAAAATTAACTATACTTGGAGAAGTTAAGCATACATGTACAGGTACAGCTGCTAGCAGCTTCCAGAAGACTATAGTCTGATATAGTCTCCACTCCAGGTCGATGGTTTCAAATTTCTGAAGATAATTCCAGACGACAGATAGAACACCATTCACCCAAGTTGTTATTCCTTTATTAATTTGGTCAATAACTGGATTTGTCAATTGCGTTAACTAGACTCCATCATCATAACACAACAACAAAAAAGATGGACTATTCCATATTTGGTAGCGTCGTGGTCATGAGATATGGGTGTGATGCGTGAGACTAAAACGAGTCTGGTGGGGAGATACAGAGCACAGAGAGGAATATTGGCTCTTGAGGAGTTGAGGGTACTGAGGTTACTTTCTTCCTTTTGGAATAATAGAATAATGTAGCTAGCTAGAGCTGATCGCCAGGAGAGCTTCTTTCCAACTTATAATTAATTGCAGAAGGCAGACCGACCATATATTTAGATAGATATGAAGAAGCACATGGCACATGGCACATGGCACATGGCACATGCAGCAGAAGCCAGAAGGGGGTCCAACTTTCCACTAATGCCATGGGGATGGGGGTCCCTCTAGGAGTAGGAGATGGTCACATCGGCAAGCACCTCCAAAATCAGAGATCTCCATCTGTTGTAAAAATTGTTTCAGGCCATCCATGATCCATGTAGAAGAAGCTTTGGGACAGTTTTTGCTGTAAAGTGAATTAATGTTCTCTTTTTCTGAAACCAAAAACGAGGAGGGTTAGAGAATGGTCAACAACTTCTTTATAAAGGAGGCTTGCTTTGTCTCTTTTTCATTGTTCCCTCTTAATAGTCAATCACCCAATACAGTGTAAGCAAGGTTTCTCACTTTCTCACCAAAGGGAGAAACATGCAAGTACCAAGGAAGCAGGTGGAAAGCTAATGTCTTGAAATTTGCAAAATCGAAGCATGCAACAAATCTGCTGATTAGTCAGTCGATCGAATCAACTCGTGAGTCAAGCACTGCATGCATTAAAAAAATAATAATAACTAAATCTAACAAGTACATAAAAAAATGTAAGCAGGGATTATATTCCTTTTGTGAATAAAGGGCTACAAATCAGCATGGCACGATTCCAGGCTAAGGATTGGTCCAGATGTTAGCTTGCCGAGTTTCTCTCAATATAGGCAACCTTTTTCAAAGGAATTCTCATTCTTATTCACGGGTACG